CTGAAGGAAGACTAGTACACAATTACTTTGAAAACATAGCATCTGAACATACCACTGTTCCTGTCCCTGAGGTGGTCAACTTCCCGCACAGTATTAATTGAAAGATTGTTTATGACACTGCCAGGAGTGACGTAAGGGTCAGTTTCAGGGTCGATGTTTGGATAACCTTTCCATGGCTCACCAGGACGAAACTCTAGGAACAGAGATTTAGAAAAGAAGCTTATTTTGATTTTTTTTTTTAATAGGAAACAGCTGTCTAAACAATACATCTCTTAATGACTGAAAATCCAAAATCTTTTAAGATCTAATTGACTTAATTTAGTTTTCACTTTATCCACTTCATTTTTAGTTTGTCTGGTCCCAACTGACCAGGGTGAAATCTCAAAGCAGGGAGATAGACTTCCCTTTGTACAATAAAACTACTACTCTCAATTTCAGTCCACTAAAAATACACCCTTAATGCTTTTCTGTAGGCTGTTTCCCTGCCCCCTCCACACGTAATGAGAAGAAACACAGCTGAACAGTAAGAACCATCGCACTGGTGCTGCATACCTGGTGGCCAGTTAACACTGCTAGAGCCATTAGGCGATTTGGCACGGGGCCAGCCATCCCCAATAGATCCAGGAGGACTGGCTGGTGAATTACTGCTGTTCATAAAGTCGTATGGAACAAATGGAGACTCTTCCAGCCTAAAACCACTTGAAATAGCACCTAATTACAAAAAAAAAAAAAGTTGTCAAATAGTTTTCATAGCCAATTTTTATATACATATATATACACATATAAAAACATGCCCATGTAAAGCATTCATGAAATATATAGGAGCACACTGTCCTCTTACGATGTCAGGTTATACAGGAAGTCATACAAGATTATATAATCTAAAATGCAATGTCTCTGAATAATTCAGGAGAAAACCATAAGAATAATCTCCCATGGAACCATCTCATTAAAATGGTATACTTATTAAATGTAAGTAAAATATTAATTCAAGAGGGTAAGAGCATTCTGTGAGACCCCAACTGGATAACCGGGGTAGTGAATATATTCCGTGATGGGAGAGCTCTTAGAATAAACATCTACGAAATCTGAAGGACCTTTAGCTACTGCAAAGCTCTGTAAATTCTACTCAAATTCCTGGGAGGGGAAAGAAGTAAAAAATAAGAATCACTGGAGGCAGAGCAAGGAATGAAAGCACTGTACACAACCTATTTGATTCCCTGCAAGTCCTGTAAGGAGAAATTCAAAAGTTATTACACAGCAAAGTCAAAGATATTCTACAGTTCTGAGGGAATAAATGACTTTTACTCATGATTCAATATAATACAGAGTTCTAATAATGAAATTCCTAATACTATTCACAAAACATTACCTACAGCTAAAGTAACACCAACACTTCTGACTTCTGTTTATCTGTAACCATCAGGTGAAGTTCAGAAGTGCAGTAGCAGGATATCTCCGCTAGATGCTGAAGGCAGCAAATCATTTCACAGTAGTTAAACAGCTGACACATCTAAAAATATCCAAACAATCTGAAGACTGAACAGTAATAGGAGACTAGAGACATTTCATAACTATCTTTAGACACAGAACCTTTGTGCTATAGACTCAAATTTTAACTGGATGAGATTTCAAGCAACTGAAACAGTTGAAATGTCATATGAATCCTGATTACTGGAATGAAACACGAAGCAACCAAGTCTGCCTCCTCTAAAACTAAGTGCAGCAATGGTACTAGTCTATCCCTTCTAAGCTCTCCCCATTTTTAGAATGCAAATGTACACATTCATAATCAAAACCTGTAACTAGAAATGTCAGACATGACCAGAATGTGTGCACACAGATTTAAATTCCCATAAATCACCATAAGACCAGCAGGGTAGGGGGAAAGAAAGCCAGAAAATCTAAAGCTTTTGGTTTAAACATATATGAAGATTTCCAATCCAGATTAAGATAAAACTAGTAGCAATAGTCAGTCACACTTCAAGAAAAGCCTGGTTAAAAAAGGAATTCTGCACAATGTTTCTACTCAATATCATCACAAGATCACTTCTGTTAAGTAAAAACATTTAAGAAAGCTATGGGCTGCTGTACAAGCAGCAAGTCTGGCACAGATGACAGTACGAATTCTGACAGCTACAAGCAAGACAAACAACTGTCGTTACCACTACAGGCCAAAATATAGCAAACCTGTATTTAACACACAGAATGTGAAAATCTGATGTGTAACACCAAATGCTACTTAATGACATGTTTAACATACCATGTTTGCTGGAGTTTTGATCTAATGATGTGTTCACAGAAATGCTGTCTACTGTAGTCCATTTCCTCAGTCGAGATTGTGGCTCTTTAATACTGCTCATATCCATGTTTACATTCAAGTTTGAGTTCATTCCTAAAAACATAATTAGCTTATGAAATACAGACTAAATGTTTTTCTTCTACTAATTACCATTATTGTTCTAATAAACATTTTAGAGCATATTACTATGGTTATTTCATGCTTCCATGTCCATTTTAGAGACACATTCTAGCATTTAATACAGTGAACTTACTACAGACAGAAGCTAAGCTAAGCAATGCAAAGCACTCAGAAGTTCTCAGCTGATGTCTTCATGCAAAAATGTCAGTGGAAGAAGCCATTGAGGAAATCAGAGAAACTAAAATGTAAACATCTAAGAAGTGTGGCACTTCTAACATCAGTCTAGCACTAGCACAACAACTGATCTCATCTGTACAAAGCAGAAGTACAGTACTTTGAAGAGCTACGCTCAGCAGCTCCTTCTCAGCAGAAGTTACGTACTGGTACCTGCAGTTACAACCTCATTCCTGGTGTTACTGGGGCTGTTCAACAGGACACCTTGCCAGCTTCTGAACCACACCAGCATAGATAGATAAGCACTTTGCGCGGAGCTGCACAAGTAATACTACCCCCAGATACTAATACCCCTCACTAATACTACTATTGACACCAAATATTAAAACCTCACTAAGATAAAACAAAACTTGTCTTCGCCTGTTCTAAGCTGTTGTCTGTATTTCAAAATATTTACTTGCCACAGAATCAACACAATGCCAATCCAAATCAGTTCAAACACCTGTGAGAACCAGCTATTCTGGGCTTGGATAATGTGCCCACGCTGCTGACTTTGGCATGCCTCCTCTCTTTCCAGGTCTGTCAGGGTCCTTAATTCACAACCATACCTGGGTTACATTTCCAGCCCTTCAGATCTATTTACTTCATTTCTGAAAATAAACCACTACAGCATTTTGCCTTAGGGCCAGAGGCACACAGGGAACTTCTCAAATCTTTACTAGAAACACCTTCATTCAGCACTGGAAACCAGTGCTTAATTTTTTTCCTAAGTCAATATTCACTGCCATATAGAAGCTGGTTCATTTTTTCATTTGTTTCCTTCTTTTTTCGTTTTTTTCTTTTTTTTTGTTTGTTTGTTTTTTGTTTTTCTTAAAGGCATGAGCAGATGTTGATACCATAAAAGAAGTCCCCTGAAAAGTCTCAGAGAAAGTGCATTGTAACAGAACAGCCGAGTTTTAAGAAATAACAACTATCAATAGCTGAAACAGAAAAAAGGGAAAGTCCAACCAATCCCGTTTCTGACATCTCTCTCTGGCATTTTGTGGTTGTCAAAGCAATAACCTGCGCACAACAATAACCTTTCTTCTAACTCTGAAGAAGCTTGCGGAAAACAGACCTCTAAAAGAAGGGTTAGAAAGATCACAAGCTGGCAAATAGGCACATGTAGCTGATAAGGTCAATGCCAGTCCCTTGGCAGACACAGATCCATGTCCATAGCTCTGTATTTGAAATCTGTGGGCTGAGGGACGAACGTCAGTCCCTGGACATACTGTAATTTTTCATATCCGATTGTGGAAGATTTTATGTTGTTCTGCTACACTCAGTATTTGGCAGAAAAAGGTTATTTTTATTATTAGAACAACTTAATTCTAGAAATGAATTGGGATGTGACTGCAGGACTCGTCAACTAGACAGAAGGACTCTTCCAGTCCTCCCCAGTCTCTGCTTTTGATGAAAACCACCACTAAACCGTGTCCCTAAGCATCATGTCTACCTGTTTTTTTAAATACCTCCAGGGACAGTGATTCAACCACTTCCCTGGGCAGCCTGTTCCCATGTCTGATAGTCCTTTCGGTGAAGAAATTTTTCCTAATACCCATCCTAAACCGCTCCTGGCACAACTCAAGGCCATTTCCTCTTGTCCTATCGCCTGTTACCTGGGAGAAGACACTGACCCCTCCTCGCTACACCCTCCTTTCAGGTAGTTGGAGAGAGCAGTAAGGTCTCCCCTCAGCCTCCTTTTCTCCAGGCTGAACAACTGCAGTTCCCTCAGCCGCTCCGCGTAAGACTTGTTCTCCAGACCCCTCACCAACTTTGTTGCCCATCTCTGGACACGCTCCAGTTCCCCAGAATGTAAACAGGACATCCCTGATTTTGTTGCTAGGTCTCCTGACACTGATATTAGAACATGGAGGAAACATACCCGCAAGATCTTCTGGAAGACAACTTGGGAAGTTCAGCTCCTCACACAACTATCCTACCATACTTTGTGCACTTGGAGGATGCTACCGATACTCCTCTTGACTCAATTTTTCACTAAAGGTGAAAAAACTCCAGCAACCTACTATCTCTACCCTTAAGTTTTCATTTGTGGAATGAGTGTGGCTCCACTTGCTTATATCGCAATACAGTACTACTCCAAAGAGATCCCAAAGGGTTCTTACATATACTGCAGCAGATTCCTGAGGGATCTCAAAGCAATCTTACATATACTGCAGATCCCTGAAATGTGGCAATGATTAAGGTGAGAAAGCAGCTACTTAACAATAGTATATGACAATTCAACTCAAGAAATGAAACACAAGAGAACCTGGTGTAGGCAGGATGCGATTACTCAGCATGAAGTTTGGCAAGAAAGTTAAATATTCCTTTCATGAGAACTAACATAGTGTCTCTAACAGCTAAATAAACTTCATTTTTATGCCTTGCCCTTTGGATGAAAGCAATAGTTCTATCTTGATGCCAGTCATCATCAGCAATTATTAAGCAGCAGCCTGGACTCAAGACTTGCCACAAGCAAAATTCCAGTGTGCCACATGCAGTGCAACAGCACGGCTTGCACCGACCCACTGGCTCCAAAACACTCCACCTATAAGCACAAGGATTTCAGCGGCAGTCTTGATTAAATAAACTTTTCTACAAAGGGCAATGAGAATGCAAAGGAAATCAGCCCAACAGAAACGACCAGATTAGAATAACGTAGAAGAAAAGCAAACTGAAGAGGAGGAAAAAAATAGGGATAAGGAACAAGTGGTAAATGGTATACAGTTGTAATAAGTATAGGATAGCATTAAAAAGGGACCTAAAGTAAGGAGAAAATATACAAGCCTGGAATTTCTGAAGTAGAAATTGGACAGAAGCCTGGAAATGTAGGGAGAAAGAAACAGGAGATGTTTGTATTTATAAATGTTCAGACATTTTGCCTGAAATGAGACAACCATTCTTTAAAAATGCAGAGCTAAAAGCTTTCTTCCCTGGACAAAATCACTAGAAAGGAAATTAACACTGTCTTCTACCTATGCATTTCCAGATTCATTGAAAACGTTTTTAAAATCCAAAGAAGTGAAACCACACCAATGGACTCTTTGTATGGACTCTACTTCTAAAAGTCCTTTAGCTCCAGGAATCATAACTGCAAAAGGACTTTGTGTCATCCTTGGGACCCAGAGGACAAAAAAAGAAATAAAGAGACAAACATTCTTTAGGAATGTGAAGCATTTTGCACTGAAATACAGACAGTCACTTCTGGGAATGAGTGTATTTATGAAAAAAGTTCTTTGGTGATAACTGGATAAGCCACACAAAGAACTGCTACCTCCATTAAAATTGTAAGTGCTAACAGGATTGCAATCACTATTGTTTTCAGAGGAGGCAGGCAATGTGAAAAGGAAGGCTGTGTGTCACATATGCATTAATTGACTGTGTGAAATTAGCATGGAGAAACCCACCTATAGGGAAGCTGCTGAACGCATTTATTGGTGATGGCCCTTTTTGTAGCTCAGGAGTAGCATGGGGTATGACATTCTCGAGGAAAGATTTCATTGTGGGTTGATGGAGTGACTGCTGTTGAGAGGGTGGAGTTTGCTGCTTCATTAACAGGTTTGGATCAAGCTGACGGGACTGTTGCATCATCTGTTGCTGCATACTAAGAGATCGACCCTTAAAAAAACAGAGCAGTTACAATATAAATAGGCAAAAGCTTTTCCACCTTTAAAGAAAGACAATGAAACACATCTTTGGGTTCTGTGCATCTTAGCCCAGCAGAAGCCCAGCGCTAAGCTATGTCACTCCTTTAAAGCTTGTCAAAATGCCATTCACTCTTGCACACTTCAGTACAATTTATAACAAGAAATGCAGCTCAGGACGAAAAACAGTTTTTAAAGATAGTTTGAAAAGTTAAAAATAAACGTATTTATTTACCTGCTGCTCCTGCTGTTGACGACCACCAGAAGGCATGCTTCTTTGATTCTGCGCTTTTTGCTGCTGAGCCAACAACCGCTAGGAGACAGTGTTTTGTGGTGGTTTTTTTAAGAACAGTTTATAGCTGACGTAAGTCTCTACTTAGACTTTCAAACAGAACACAGAGCGACTAGCTTTGTTAGCTTACCTGTAACTGGGAGATCTGAGAAAGCTGGTTTAACTGGGACAGTTGATTCAACATGGCTACCTGTTGTGGGCCAAAGAGTGGGCTCAGGCCACCGTTGTTTGGTGCATACTTCAGTAATGATACTGGAACCTGCAAAATGGACAAGTATGAAAAGTGACTGACAGGAACGTGCACATAGTTACACTAGACATAGAATATTATCACCTCTGGTTACCAGTTGCCTAGTTTCTGAAACACCGATCAAGCCAAATATATTTTCAAATATTTACAGAAAAAGTAGCAGCAACACCAATGAACAAACCACAGTTTTCTGAAGCAGCATTTTGGTAGTTTATCTGTAGAGTGCTCTATGTACTTAGTTACCTGAGGGGACAGTAATGGAGGAGGCACTTGAGCACGTGGATTAGGCTGAGATGAATTAAGAGTTTGTGCTGGAGGCTGCTGCATGCTCCTGGGCTGTGCTGCTATATTACCAACACCAAACATACTGGGATTGCCATTCTGGGGAAAGAACGGACAGTCAGTGACAATAAACCTCTTCTCCTGCTTCTCCCACCCCTACACATTTGAATTACAAGTTAAACACACATCAATCACATAAGTAGCTAGGATGTTATATCAGAAGGTATTAAATGCTGTCAAGTAACATGCCAAGGATATGCACACAGCCTTACCTGTCTAACAGAATTCAAGTTTTGCATACCCAGCCCTGCTAGGGAGCCAAGGGCTTGGTTAGGTAGTGCATTATTTGAAGGGGGAAGCTTCATGTTTTGATTGGACATAAACTGCATGTTTTGGGACTCGTCTGCTACAATGCCATCCTGATTGGACAGACAAACCGATGCGCAACAACCAGCCAGCAAGCAAGCAGAAGGGAGAAACCATTGCCAGGAACAGAAGGGAAGAGTCACATGACAGTCCAGCACCAGCAGGAAATAGGCAGAAAACAAAAGAGATCAGGTTAGTCATTTGCACTGCAAATGGGCTACAGAAAGTGCTTAGTATTATATATCAGTATGTTAAAAAGAACAAAATATATCTTACGGATTAACAAGGAAGCCCTATTTTTCCTCTCCACTAAATGCAGAAAGCTAAGGAGCACACACATAACTACTCAGAATGCAGCGTCAAAGAAGTTCAGAAGTGTCCACCAGTAAGACACCTACTAACCTTATCAAAGTAAGGACCGCGATCCATGGAAGACTCTTTGGAAATTTGAGGACGAGAACCAGGGCCTTTTCCAACCACACGATTGTAATCTCCAACACTGAGGCCGTGCTTATCCATCTCCATCCGCTTATCTTGCAATAACCCTACAAAAAAGGTGAGAGATGCGACTACAACATTGAAGAATTATTCAGTTTTTCAGATACACAGGAAAACAGTTTATGCTTATGAGGGGCTGAAGTAATACAGCTCTCAAGCTAGATACTAATAAAAGAAAACATCAGTTTTAGCTTTCCTCTCTCTGGGCTTCACTGAAACGGGAAGGAAACACTACGAATCGATGGCTACAGACAACTCAAAACTTGGAATCAGCAAATTGTCAACAGATTTTGCTAGGCTTCACAGAAGTATTATTCTCGGTTTTCTCTTCAAAAGAAGAAAGCGTAATTGTTTAAACTTCAGTTTCCAGTTGTGAATGCCCCTTTTTTTTTAGTAGCAATAAACATTATCTTTGCTTTGAAGTAGTATCTTTATCACACGCCCTACATTTGTGTTGTATTTCAGAGGCTCTTTAATTCGATTCAGTTAAGAAAAAAGCATAACTATTTAGCTAAAAAAAATAATCCTCAAACACAAATCTAAAGTATTTGTGTTTATTAAAAGCAAATTTTAAGCTATCTTTTATCATTAATTCTTATATTAATTCCAGGCAATAGAAGATCAAAATATACGCAGTAGGAAAGAAGTCCATTTAGTACTGCACTGCATGCAGTACAAGAGAATGACTTTCCAAGCCGATGTTTTAAATTCAAATTTAAAAAGATGAAGTAATTTAAATGAGTCTTGCCATTAATACTAAAATCTAAAATTCAAAGAAGAGTTTCTTTACACAATAGACTATAAACCCAAAAGTGAAAAGACCCAATTTTAAACTAGAATAAAAAGAATGCAACTACAATAAAAACTACAATTCTACAATTACTTTTAATTAAATATTCTATCATTATAATATATTGTTATTAACGTATTAAAAAATTATACTATATTTGATTTGCTAGGGGAATCATAACAGTCAGTGGATTCACATAAAACTAAAACTGCTCACAAGTCATTCCATACTCCAGTTTAAACATTTCTAAAATAATCATTCGGTATTACTTTAGTTCTTAAAACTGAACATGTGTTTCCAAGAATGAACCACAATGAGCAAGTGTGGTATTCGGAACGTTTCTGTTTATATTTAAGTGAAGGTATCCAGAAGGCAATCTAGATATTTATATTACAAGAAACAAACCCACCACATCCTGAAAAAATTCTTTCGTGTCACCTTAATATATATAAGCTTAGCTTGATTTATGGATAATATTACCATAGCAACCAGCTGATTCAGGTGTGTAGTGTTACTCAGTGCACAATTTTTTTCCTTTACAAGGGTATTCCTTTCTTTAGGGAAACATATATTTAACTACATATAGTTATAACTATATATATTATATAAAGTTTTTTAAAAGTTATTTACAGTTATTTATATATAAACTAAACGAGAGACTGGAAAGGAAAGCAACAAACCCCAGCTACATTCTCCTATTCTTACCTCCAGACATGTCCATCTTATTGCTCTGTATGGTTTCTTCTGGTGATTCTCTCTGAAGTAATAAAATGAATCATAATTATTGAATAATAATATTTTTAAAAGCTAAAACAAAGAGATTCATATATACTATTTCAATTCAAACCTGCAAGAAAAAAAAAGCGAGACAGATCAGATGCTACTTTAAAGCATTTTCCTCCCCTTAGCTGTTACCCAATTGAAAACAGGTATCTTCACCAAAATATGTAAGTGACATTAAGTAAAAGAACAGACTACTGGATGAATACCTGGGTAGAGTTTACAGAAACACTTTTCATCAATAAATAGGTCTTTTTGTAATGTGGATGTAAAGAAAAGGGATGGGTGACAGCCAGGAGACAAACAGAAGTAACATGAAAAATACTATGAAAACGAACACTAGGCAATCAAGCATTTTAATCTGTGCACTATAACTAGCACTCTAAGAAGGCAGTAAAGCCAGGTAAAGGTAAATACTTACTGAAAAACTGAGATTTGTGAATTGCTTAATGAATGGATTGATCCATGTTTCATCTTGCTTATTTCCACCTTTCATTATTCCCTTAAAAATAGAAAGAAATTCCTGTGATACTCAGAAGATGCTTACCACCTACTGCTTCAATTACATCATAAAATATTATGAATGAAGATTAAAGCTTAATGGTACTCCACTCAGTGCAGCAGTCTGTTCTGACTTCGCTTTTAGAAATGACAACAGTGCAAGTACCTTGACTCAACCTCCTCTGGGAATTATTTTACAGAATAGGAAAGCAGTAGCGCTCAGGAACCTCACCACCATTTGGTGGGGTTTTTTTTCTGTTTTGTTTTGGTTTGGGGTTTTATGTGTTTGTTTGTTTTGGTTTTTTCTTTGCATGGCCAGCTTGCACTCTTATGTTTGAGCCTGACATCTAAGAAACCAGAATTACCTTTGTGGGCATTTTTTTCATATATGGTGGCCAATTTAAAGTTGGGTTAGCTTCTTGTGAAGAACCGCTGTTCCACATTCCAATTTCTACATCCTCTTCTTCCTCCCAGCTGGTCTGACGACTGCCTGTCAATGGCATGTCATCTCCACACCAACTATCTTGCATAGATTTAGGCCCTGGTTGTGAAAAAAATCCAGCACGTTAACATTTCTTTTAGCAACTGACTACTCTTAACACAGAAACTAGCTTTGTGTTTACTGCAAGATAAAAAAGCCCTCAAAAAATGTAAAGCTTCTAGAGAAGCATTTCACCTTCCTCAAATACTTTTATTCAAAGACGATGCAGAAAGCACTCACCAGGTTTATTTGAAGCCTGTTGACCAAGAGAAGCGTTTCCCCAGCCAGAGGTGCCTGCTGCATCGCTGATGGGTTCTCCCCAGCTAGTACCAGTATCCATGGGTTTACCCCACGCTGAAGTTCCATTATCTACAGTAGTGGCTGGAGTAGAAGGCTCTCCCCAACCTTTTTAAAGCAGTATGAGTTATTGGCATGTTTTTAAACAGCATTAAAAAAGCTATCTAAAGAGACTCACGTGTTTTCCCTTTTCTAGACCCATAACATACAATAAAAAGCGTACTGGTACCCATTTACATTCTGTATGAAGGTAATTATTACAACTGTAAGCTATTCCATTAAAAAAACATAATCAAAAAATACAAGTTTCATACATAAAAAATTACATTTTGATAGTAGAACTTTCTAAGATATTAAGTTCCTAAGAGCTGCTCATTATATTTAAGCTACTCCTCTTCACAGCTGAAAAAGAGACAGAACACAAAACACCTCATAAACACCATGCGAGCTCATCTGCAAGTATCATTATTCACTGCTCCCAAAACAAGGAGATCAGAAAGTCTGACCTAGAGTACATATAAAACCATCACCCTTCATTCTGTCCTGTAGCAGCTCAACACTTTTTTTTTTTGGGGGGGTGGGTGGTGGTCTTTGGCAACATTAAGTTTTAACTGTTTTAGTATCAAATGAAGAAAAATACTTTTGTTCCTCAGATACTATTTTAAATATTTTGCATTCCCACGCCCCAGAATTCAAGTAGAGCTACCTAGTCTTTATTACTCAAGCTATTTAAAACTAGAATAGATCTTCCAATCTGTATAAAAATCTCCAACATCTATAAGCACTGCTGTTACTTTTTTTGATCAATAAAAATGGTACCTCAATGGCACGTTCCCTTTCTACTTTGAAACTGAAATATTGTTATATGAAGCAAGAACAAGGTAATTGTTTTACAATTAACAGAAAACACAAATTTGCATAAAACCAAGTCTTACCAGAACCCGAACTGCTCTCCTTGCTAGACATGGCACTTGAAGACAGTAGCTGCTGATGTACCTGTGCTTGCTGGTCTGAACTGCTGCTACTGTTTGGGACATTTTTATTCCACATATTCACATTTTTGTAGTTGTATTTGCTTGGATCACCCCAAGCAGAAGTTCCATCATCAATTTCCATTTTACGGCGTATTGATTCAGGGGATGGCTCCTCCCAGCCAGTGGGTTCTTCCTCCTTTGCTGGTGCTGGCATTGGTCCACCCAGCCAGCCTGACCCTGGGGGTTTGTTTGTGGAAGATGGTGCTCCCCAAGAGCCAACATCTTGTTTGTTCCATTCTGGAGAGTTGATTGGCTTTGACGAATCCCCCCAGCCTTGAGGCTGATTGGATTTAGAAGGGTCTCCCCAGCCCTGGTTCTGATTAGACTTTGCAGGCTCATCCCATCCTGAAGAATTATTTGGGTTTGTACTATTACCTCCCCAAGTAACAGAATTTGATTTACCTGGCTCATTCCAACCAGATACTGATCTGTCGCTGTCGCTACCTCCCGAACTGGATTTCTTAGCCTCACCCCAATGGTTACTTCTTGAATTTTCACCCCAGCTATCACCGGCAGAAACTGCCCAACCCTGGCTGGCCTTTTGTCCATCTCCCCATCCCTGTTTGATCTTCTGTGCGTCATTCCAAGATGACTTTTCCTCTTTGCCACTTCCCCATGATTGATTGCTCTTGACCATTACTGTAGCAGCAGAATCTTCTTCCCACCCCCCTTGGCTGTTTGACCCTTTGGAGTCGCCCCACCTTGTAGCAGACTTTGGATCTCCCCACCCTGATACAGATGAGGTATCATTATTATTAGGGCTAGGTCTATCCACACACCCCCCTGAGCTGGAAGTCTGTGTCACAGAGCCTCCCCAGGCCTCTGTCCCATTGTCAGTTTTTCTTTCACCCCTCGGTGATGTTTCAGTATCCCAGGCAGTGTTCTGTTTGATTGGAGTCTGTCCCCAACCAGAGTTGGAAAGGACACGTGGATCTAAGTCAGTTCTGTTCACTATGCTTTGGAGTAACGCATGCTGGTCAACTTTCCTTCTCTCTCGGTTCTGTCCTTCTGTAGTTACTCTGTCTTCATGGCATCCAGTGCTCTCCGAACTACCTTCGCTGTCCCCCGTACCTGTTTTGGCCCATGCGCTGTTCTGCTCAGTTATCTGAGAAGCAGCAGGACTCTGGCTGTTAAGGTCATCCTCCTCAGTAGATTTCCATCCATTTGTAAACTTCCTGCTGTTTCCATTCACGCTTTCATTGGAATGCTGATTACTAGGCAGTTTACTCCATTCCCCGTTTGAAATGTTAGTGCCAGTGTTTTGTGCAGGGTTGCCCCATCCTCTTCTACTCCCGCCAGCACTTGCACCATTTCCACTTCCCCATGGCATATTCTGGGAGTTGACTGTCCCTGCCTCCCATACCCCTCCTCCTTTATTCCCATTGATTTGAAAGTTAGTGCTGCCAGGCCCGCTAATGCCTGGCTGCATTAGAGTTGCATTCACAGTGTCACCATTAGCTTGGCTGTTTGGGCCTGAACATTTGTCTCCAGAGTAATTAGAACCATAGGCACCCCATGTAGTACCATAAGATCCACCATTTTTCGCCTCACCATTGCTAAGATGAGAAATGGAAGTGCCATTTGTAACTGGAGAGGCCTGAATCTGAGAATGATTCATTGTGCTCACACGCCAGGCCCCATGCCCTGTATTATTAGGCAGTTCGTTAATCTGCACCGAACCAGCAGAGTTTGGTAAACTAGAGGTCATAAAGTTAGTAGTGTTATTTGGTCCATTCATTTCAGTGTTAAGGTTTTGAGGTTGCCCACTGAATGAAACCTTCCTTGTACCATTTACTTCAGAATCACAATTTTCCTGAAGGCTTCCCCAGGAACCATGGGCGGAACCACCCACTTTAGAGCTAATACTCTGACTATTAGATATCTGACCTATGGTACTGCACTGAATATTTGTGCCAGGATTACCACTCCCTACAGACCCTTTCAGGGCATGTCCATTGTTCTCCAATACAGGCCAGGCACCATGGTTGCCATTTGAATTCAAAGTGCTTGGATTTAACCCTCCATTTGATGAAGAGTTTATGGTGCCCCAAGCATTCATTCTATTGTTGCTACTTTCAGATTTGCTGTCAGGAGCATCCACAGAAACTTGACATGTGCTTATTATGGTGCCATGGGATAAACCCCACGGCCCATTAATACTTCCATTGCCCACATTATTGCTGTTGCTACCAACCACAAACTTATTTTGAGAACCATGTCCAATGCCATTTCGAATGCCATCATTTTCACCACCTGTGCTCCCTGAAGCCATTATAACGAGGTTTCTCTCTGACCCAGAGCTAGAGGCAGAGTCAGTGTCCATACATTCTGATGTCAACTCTGGGTCACTGCCAGTGATTGATGGCCATGCTTCTTTGTCAGAGCCGTCTACAATAACTTTATCCCAGTTTGTGCTGGAGTCACTATTTGAAGAGACTGGTCCCCAGTGAGAATTTTCATAATGGGATCCTAGACCACTGTGGTTCAGATCTAAAGAGAAGAAGGAAAGTCCAAAAGCATTGTTATAAGTTTAGTACTATTACTTCATTAAGCAGAAGAGGGAAAAAATGTATAAAGACGTTAAGAATTATTTTGCTTATTTTAACACTACAGTCACTGAAGATGACAGAGAAAGCTTCCAAGTACAGCTGTTCAGGATGCTGCCAGATGCATAACCTAGAACACTTCTCACCTGCGCACAAAGTTGCGCTCACAAAAAGCAGGAAGATGCACTCCTACAGCTCTTTTTATCCAGAGATATATTTTTTAAAAAAATACTCTGTATCACCATACACAAAACAGTTTGTAAAAACACACACATATTAAAACCTAAAATACTATATAAAAATCAAAGAGATTCTGAAAGGCAGAAATCTAAACATGATATTAAACTGACCTAGTAGTACCAATTGCTGTATGACAACAGCCAGAGAAACACACACACATCCACCCCTCCATTACAAGACATTATATAAGATTTCTTAAGTACAAGTCAAGATATTTTCTTTTATATAAACTTCCCATTTTCATTTATGCAAGAACTACTGTTTCTTTTTCAATAAATAAGCTGATCATGTCTGGAAATCAAGATGACATACATCCTAATTCACTTACAAACTTTTCATGGTTAAATACATGCACCATGGACTATTTGCTACAAAACAAGTGCTATCAATTTTCATCTCATATGTTTATAGTGCAGAGACCACCCCCTGCGCCAAACTGGAATCAAAACATAGGTGCACCAGAAGATGAAACTATGAAAGTGTGAAGCACGTGAAAAATAGTAATGAAGTTGGCAACAGAACACAAGTACAAAACGCCTGTGAAGTTTTTTACTTAGTATTTGCCTGAACTGAAAGAATAACAGTACTAGTGTATGCTCAATTGCTCTATATGTAGCAAAGCATGCTGCTTTGCCCATTAAAACATTCACTTTTTTAAAAAAAGAAACTGTCAACTTTACTTTGTCATGTTCCTATTTTTGCCTTTACTTAGAATATTCAAAATGTATGCACCTAAATATAAGAGAAAAAAGCTTTCTAGCTCCTACTCATTCTTAATGGATTTTTACGGCACATGCCCTACATCTGAATAGAAACTGTATCTGTTCACCTTAACAGACAGAGCTAATTAGTAACAAACTGCTACAATTATCAAGCTTTATTTTTTTCAAAAGCTGTTTAAAGAACATTTAGGGACTTGCTACTTTTAAAACATAGCATTATTTTAAAAGCCTCTTGTGTTTCCAAGAACTACATGTTAATTGCAAAGTCTGAAAGGAAGCTGCCAGTCTCAGCAGCTTCCCCCTTCTGCTACAAGGACTGCCAATTCTGCACTGAAGCCCCACATCCTGACGCCCACCAACCCCTACTTACGACTCAGGAACAAGTAACTGAGTAGCATCTACTCTATTAAACGTGTTAGTCACAATTGCCACCTATTTAGAAGTTAAAACACATACAAGATAGGAATTTTGGCAATAGCTCAGCTCTCAAATGCAGAGATCATTTGGCAGGAGCCTGTTCTTAGTGCTCCAACTCAACCACAACAAGGGTTGATGTGGTTTATTGTGTGTAACGTGACTGACCAATCTGAAGAGAAGCACAGTTGATGTAGATTTAAAAAGAGACCTCGTTTCAGTCTTCCACCTCGCAAAAGGTATTTGAGAACACCATGACAAGCAAAACCCCCACATTTTAATATCAGAGTGACAAATTCTAAATGCTACATTATTTAGATTTATTATCTTTATGATCTACAGGCAACGGGAGGGAACTAGTTAGTATGGAGAGTTTACCACGGTTTACACTGATGCGCAAAGAGTTCTGGTGTATTTTTCATTAATTTTTAATCAATATCAATATTATTCATCCTACAGAGAAAAAGAATCTAGCCAAAGACCCTACCTCCAAGAGTAGGTAGCCTAGAGCAGCACAGAGCAGGGATCACCCACTGCTTCTCCACCATCCGGGATGATGGAAGCTTGAGAGAGTCAAAGCAATCAGTTAAGCTTCACATAGGAACTACAACATGAGAAATAAGGATGCTGGCACAGCAATTTGGCACAGGGAGTAGTGGAAAAAGACCTGTGGCAGGCAGAAATAGGGCTGCAATGGTTAGAAGTGCCCTGCAGCTCCACAGTCTCAAAGAGGGGAACCACACAGCATCCTTGAGAGAACTGGAAGACATTCATTCACTTGAGCATAACCCATAAGCACCTATTAATGTGTCACTGAAAAAAACACTGTAACATCTGAACAATTGTCCAAGAAAATCCAAGATTCCAAATCTCACACTGGTATTTTGAAAACTGACATTTATCTTATATTAAAAGGCTCATTAAGAGTTGTTAAGAGTTGCTAAGAGTTGTCTGCACTCTGATGAACTAGAGAATCAAGAGGATCAAAAGCTGCCCTAACAAACCAAAATCTTGATTACATAAGAAGTACCCCAATAACACAATCGAGTTTAAAAACGACATGAAAGTACACATATGGCACACAGCCTGAATTCAGTGTGAAGCAAGCAATACAGGTTATGACAAGCCAGAGTGAAATGGTAAACAAATCCTAATTTGCACAGCAATAGAATACTTAGATAGAATACTTACAATAGAATAAGCAAAAGGAAGCTTATATTTAATAAAATTCTTTTATACTAATTTAGATGCAATACACAATTTGTAATGAGCCAATACCCAAACAACATACAATGATTAATTTCCAGTCATCCAGAATTTTGTCCTAGCACATACAAAACTACCTTGACTAACAGTGTTTTTCCTGGACATAACTGCCTGTTAGTGATTCCTAGTATAAGCTTCTGTTCTGAAATATTCCTATCTGAATCTCCACAACCCATGAACATCTGAGATTAAGTAGATAATTGCTTGCTTAATCAGTATTTATCTCCGATTTTTCATATTTGGCAGATACCACAAAAACACCTTCAAAATTGAAAAATTAGAGTTAACAACATACTACATTTGGTGCACAGCAAAACCAGCCTGTAGTTCTACTCTTGGTTTTCTCCCCAGAACTATTTAGAAACTGCAAATGAACTTCTGCTGCTTAAATCCCGGACCAAAAAAAGAAAAAAAAAATTTACACAAACCCAACTTTCTTAAAATCCAGTAATCAGCTAAGATTTTTTCAATAATTTGGAATTAAATAATTTATTGCTCTCTAGCTAGGAGTTATCCCTGCAGGAAATGTTTGCAGGAAACTGTATATATTTTCCGAAGTAGTTTGTTTGTTTTCTAGTACCATCACATGGTTTAAACTAAACAGTAGAATTAAAAAGTATAAATGAAGAAATATCCGAATCCTGCTCCCTTAATGTTTGCAGGAAACTGTATATATTTTTCTAAAGTAGTTTGTTTGTTTTCTAGTACCGTCGCATGGTCTAAACTAAACAGTAGAATTAAAAAGTTTAAATGAAGAAATACCTGAATCCTGCTCCCTCTGTCTCCTTTTCCAGTTCCAGTACACACTGGTACCCACAGGCTGTCAATACTATATCGTTCCAATTATTGGAACCTTCATTCCTTATGAAAAAATGCATTTTAGTAAACAGGCTTTTTAGCTTCTATTAAACAAGCTAAAAAGCACCTTTATTATGAAATGACAAACCAAAAAAAAATAAAACCTGTTTGTTAAAATCACCTCTCTGTTTCTCTGTGGTAGAGAAAAAGGTCTGTGTGTGTTGCGTTAAAGTACTCCAACTCAAGAATTAGCATACGTAGCTGTTTGCCTTTGCAATAGTTTCCTAACTGCTAACGCAGGAGAGGAAAGCTGCCAGGACAAGGGGACAGTGTCCCTTTGCGCCTAACCCAGCACAACTGGCAGCTCCCCTAAACAGGACTGTCCCGCACACTTTCTCTCTCCCTGCTCTCCTCTCCCCAGCTGGGGCTCTGGCCGCAGCTTGCGCTGGACCGAACACCCCTGCAGCACTGCGGTGAGCCAGGACAGCTCGCCGAGCCACCGGAAAAAGGATGGTTTTCCATCGCATGAAGAATCTGCCCTGACTCACTAAGCGGTCAAATTCAACACAAGGGAAGAGAGCGGAGGGAAGAGGAGAGGAGGATTAACAGCACCCCTTTAAGAGCAGTCTTCGAGGCAAACAGAAAAGATGCAACACGAAACGTTCTCCTAAGCACTGTGCCCAGGGCAGCCTGATGGGTGCACGGCACAGCCAGAAACAGAGCCAGTCCAAAGCATCCTACAGCACTATCTGCCTTCCTCCAGACATTTCATACGGCATGTCCCCAAGCCCTCATACATCACATTTGCTCCAAAATATTACTTTAAAAATAAACAGCAAGTGTTCTTCACATCCATAGCCAGTAAACACCACACACAGCTGTAGGTCTCCACACACGTGCTACCCCAGCATAAACTCAGCATTCAAAATAGAAAGGCTCCCAGACGTGATTTCCTCCACTGTGCTGTTAAATATCTCTGATACAAAGCACGGGCTTGCACAAATTATTCAATTTAATACCACGAAGAGGCAATTTAACATGTAAGCATAAAGGTAAAAAAAGACACTTCATATTTTAATGCTGAAGTGCCACAAAGTTGAAACATCTGTTTTGGTATGAATTATTTTAGAAAATTAAAAGTGTTTAACCAAATGTCATATGTAATGGCACAGAGAAAGTATACTTAAGTCAGTCATTCACACAGCGCAAGTTATTGAAAAACATAAGCCAAAGGGAAAAAAAAAAAAAATTCAGACAAAATTGTGTGAAACATGTAACTACTACAAACACATGTAGTGCAAAAAAGGTGAGATTTAAATAGCTAACCTGACTGGTTAGGGGAGTGGCTCACCAAGTCCCGAATGGGAGGCATGCCTACAAAAAGAAAAAAAAAAAAAAGGCAAGAAAATTACAGAAGTGTTACTAAAGTAAACTAGCCTCCAAGAACAGTCCCCAAACTATTCATTACTTTAAAACCATTTGTTAGCACCCCTTTTTCAGGATAGGTTTCTCTTAAGAGCCATCTCTCAATCTTACTGACTGTGCTAGCGACAACCAAGTCCTGAATTGCCTCACCCACAGCGCTGAACACGCCACTGATACACTGATAGCAAACCCAGCTTTCTACATATAGCATTTAATTATTAGCAAACTTGCTGCTTTTACTATTTCCATGACTAGTTAGTTTTTATACATTTGGCATTTAATTAACCAATTTAACATGTTCTTAATTTTAAATTATTTTCATTTTAATTGATTTATACAAAAAAGAGGAAGAATTTATAGTAATTGAAGCCAAAACCAGTTAATTTTTCACTGTACTAACTTAAGAATTTCAGAGGTCAGCCCTGAAACTTAAGCAAGTTCATATCACTTCTTTGAACGGCACGCTTTCTCCTGAAAGTCATTATTTTGCTACCTGATTTAGCATGCAGAACTAAGTACAGTCCAACTCTGGTTTAATTTAAGTGTGTGCATAACAAATTTCGTTTACCACTCTTTCATAGTTTCTTCCTCCTAAGTGTCCTATAGGCAGCATATGAAATCAAAGTTAACATTTCAAATTCAGAAATTTTACAGTTGGAGACCATAACTGTTACATTTAAGGCAATGTTTCCTAAATTAATTCAACCTCCATCACTATTAACTGCAAATCCCAACTGTTTGCTTTTTCCCCCGACTGCTACAATAGCCGACAAAAACCCCTGGAGTTACAGGAAAAATCTTTTGTTTCCAAAGGCTTTGGTTATAACACAATTTTGCAGCTCCGCTGCAAGATGCACGAGGAAAAAGTGAGACCCACTCACGTCAAAGGAGGAACCCAAGAAACTGGACAAACGCCAGGAGCCCGATGATGCTCTCCTGTTTTGTTCTGTCCCACAGTTGTAAGCAATTACTGCTGGCAAATATTTTAGTTCACTATATAAATCATTTCATTGTGGAATAACCACCTGGTTATTCTGATGTGTTACAAAGCACAGAGGCAAACAAACACACCAAGGCAGCATTCAAGACTTGCTTTCATGTGAAGTTTACACATGAGGGAAAACTTCAGTAAAGCAAACAACCAAATTGGGTATGAAAACGTTCTGATAAAGAGCTAACTTACGCAGATTTCTTAAAATAACCATCTTGGTACAAGACTGTATCTGTTTCAGAAGTACTACATGGCATGAGCTTCACTCATGTGTCTTTATTAAACAGATATGCCAAATGTGCTAAAAACAGCAGAAAAAAAAAAAACCCAAACCACAGGACTATCCCTTCTTAAGCTTTCCTTCTAAACAAAGCAAGGTAATTTTCAAAAGAGGAGATGATTGTCCATGTTTTTGCATGGACAAATTTTACTTGTGTTTTCACAAGTAAAGAAGGTTTTTTTTTTGACCATTGATATAAGTAAAAAATTCTCCAATACCAAAGACTTAAAAACTTGCTGTGGCCAGGGTAATTAAAAGACGACTTTAAATTTAGCAGCACTTGCGTTCTCTGGCTTTTACAAAGCACCTACTGAACAGTTATAACCACAGCTGGAACTGGGGAGAGATCCTACCCCGTGGTCTGTCCAGGAATGACAGATAAAGCAACCGGAGCCATTACCAATTACAGCAATTTTGGCTTCAACACTTCAAGCTACAGTTTTCCTTTTAACCCTAAAATACAGATTGATCCCAATATCCATTAAATAATGCTCAGAAAAAAAAAAGAAGTCAAGAACTTAATCTCCAAAGATATTCCATTAAGGTATAAAATTTGTTAACTCAAATGGCCTGCACACGGGTATGCTTTCAATAGGAAAGGATCTACAGATATGTCAAATTTCATGAGATTTTTAATTTCAGAGGTAACAACAAAGAGTACCTAGAAGTTGCTGTTGGAGACTAAAAGAGGAACTAGGAAGAGTGAGTAAGACTGAGACAGGCAAATGACAGTAGTATTTCCTTTCAGATATAAAGGTGTCAAAAGACATTAAGTCACTCTCGGATGCTGCTGGACTATGGCCACCTCCACACTACCTCCCAGGCAATTCATTAGACAAGATTTTGAAACCATTACAGAAATCCAGCACTGGAAAATTATTTTTCTTTGCATCATCATCTTACCTACATTTCTTAAAGACCATGACAAAACATCCAAACCAGACATTATTCCTGGTTATATCAGAGGAAAGAGACCTTTCAAGCGCACAGATACATGGCACCAAGTAACAAGAGCCTGGCCACCCAACCCCCCTCGTCGATTCTGATGAGTTTACCTTGGACACAGGGGAATGCCCCGAGCACAGCACACAGTTAACAAAGATCTAACAGGATGCTACAGACAATACAAACATGTTCTTAAGATGGGAAAGTGATTTGGCCAACCTTTCTCTCCCCTAAAGGCTCTCGGAACCTTTTTGTTACCAGCTGGACGTGTAGACAGATTATTCACATAATTAACACATTATTCAAACCGCAGAACTACTCCCAGTAAAGCAGTTGCCTCAGACGCTCAGTGTAGCATTGAGGCAGTACCGCACAGGGACACATTGACATCTCCCAGCCTGAAGGTGGTCCAGCACAAAAATCACGCAAAATTGAACAGAATGCAATACAGAAATAGGAACCCAACTAATTAAATATTGGACTGGCGTTCACAAAAAGTGCAATGAAGGACAGTATACTCAAAAAAACCCTCTGGATGCAATTAGGTGGTTTAATAGGTCGTATAGAGAGTAATACTTCTTAGATGAGAGTAAATGTGAATTTATATTTAAACCAGTATTTGCTACCATACAATTTGACCAGTAGAGGATATATGCTGGAGAAAAATTTTCATCTTAGAAGCAAGTGGGTATATGACAGGCTACTTTAAACCCGACTATAGACAGGAACAAAATTATACAGGTGAAGTAAAAAGAAAAATAATTAACTGCTTAAAATCACTTCTTGGAAGAATTCTATCAGTACATTACAAAAATAATAGTGGAAAGTAATATTTGAAACATTACTCAAGGGGCACATGGATAAACTGCTCCCAATGATTTGATTGTTTCTGTCCATTTTAAATACTGCTTCTTCAAGATTCACAACAACTCACAATTTAACTAAAATTTGAAATGTCAAGGCTATTTTCCAGAAGTCTTTTCTGCAACTGAAGGGGCCACGAGTCACATCCTTTATAGTGTATAAAACACTAATTCTGAGAAACACTGGGAATTCAGCAAAGTTTCAGAAGAAGCCATCTGTGGGATCGTGCACACCGCTACTATGTGCACATCAAAAACCAAATACAAGTATAAAAATAAAGTATTTGTTCAACATATTAAGTGTTAGCATGCATTAATAACAGATCGCTTCAAAAATCTAGATCCTTATAAAGAAAGTTACATTTTTCCAGCCAAACCCAGACTGCATTTATTGTCCAAAAAGATTTGCTGAACTGCATGCTAGTACATTCACTGAACAGCAAATTATGCACATGCAACAGGTAAGGTTACTACTCCTTAAAGGGTATTTGAAGAGAATGCATAACAAGCTAAAATAATAAAGGCTAACTATACTTAATACTAATAGTAATAAAGGTAAAGCTCAATCCATTCTGTAAGACAACCTAGCTTCAGGTAGAAGAACAAAGAAAAACTCTGACCTAATAACAAAAAGCAATTCTGATAATCTAAACAAGTTATAATGTATCTCTAGATTTGATAAAAATAAAGAGTCTTAAGATAATGTTCAGAATGCTCTGGGAACTGTCTGAAAGACGATTCCTCGTGAGATCTGTGTATCAAAATTGGATGCAAAAAAGGTACTTCATACCATGACCACGCTTGGATCAATTATTAGGATAAAGACTGGAAATTCAGAAGAATAGCAGTGGTCATATTGGCTTCAACATCTGTTCAGAAACAGACATGACTATTGTACACCGCTGGCAACAACGAGCAACTAAGACGTTTTAAGTTTCAGTATGAAACTTGCCCAAAGATGGCTGAAACCATCCTCTGGTATCAAGCTACGACACAGGAAAATATCTCATCATGCTACAGCTTACATTTTAAACTTTAAATAATATTAGCTCAAATATTTCACTGATAATTGAATTTAAACTATTTGATTTTAGTTAAAGGAAAACAAGGTACCTCCCCCTCACCTGGCTGTTTTTTGCTGCTGTTCGGCACTTCTCCGTTGGTCACTGGCTGTTTATTTGTGACAGTGCTGCCTCCTGACTGGCCGTTTAATACTTTAGGAGTAGATCCCAGGTTTGCAGCTATAACTGGTAACTGCTGACCTCGTTTCAGAAGCTGTTTCTGTTCCTGGTGTCGAAATCGCGGTGGTACTTCACGAGGAGGGTATCGAGGCAAGGTCTGCTGCTGCTGACTGTTGGCTGTGGCCCGCTTGGCATTATTATTAGTGCTGGTTACTGTGGAAGTGCCGTTAGAGGTGACAGGCTGAGGCTGGCTTACACTTGTCTTTGTTTGTTCTGGCACTACCCCCACCCCCAAAAAAAAGAAAGTTGGACAAAGTTATTCATAAGAACAGCAACTTAAAAAAATTGAAGACTAAGTCAATGTTCTTAGATGTATTTATATATTATGTAACGGCAGCATTTTTTTTCTGATTCAAGTTGTAACTCATTCCCCATTAAAAGCTCTATTATCCCATAATCACACAGCTTTAATAGCACAGATCTGGAAGCAGAAATATGTCTTGCTAGCAATCCTAACACAGTTATCTCAGTTAAAGCATGCTACTACTAACAAGCTTGTTATAGCTTTACCTGACAAATCAGCACTATGCCAGTTTATTTTGGCATCTAAACTTTACTTTGAAAAATATTTAAGTACTAAAAAAAAAAAAATTAAAATATCTTACTCCATTGGGAAACTTAAGCATTACATATAGAAAAATTTTATGGTCTTGCACAAAAAGAACAAGAGGTGAACAGGACATACCAAACACATTGTTAAGACTTGCCTGCTTTATCAACCCTAACATCCAAAGGGAAATACATTACCAGCCTTAAGTCAATCTGTTGCCAGCAGGAAAAGCTAATGGCACAGGTAGCCCCATGCACGGCTTGGCAGGACTGTGCCAGCATTGACGAAAAGCCAAATGCGCAACTGCAACTCCAAATTATCTTTCAGTCTTGACAGCACGGCCACTTTAAGGCACGATGAAGGTCAAATGATTTGCAGAGGTCATCGGTGAGTGAACACACCAAACCCTGTAACCCATACTTCAACGCTGCTGAATATAGAGAAAACCGCGACATCCTTAACGCCTCCAGCCCAACCAGTACAAAAGCAAAGGTGTAAGTAGGGGGTGTTCAGGTGGAGGTAACTGGTTAGGAAACCAGGCTCAATGGATAGGAAGGAACACTGTGAGCTTCTGGATCTGTTTCCTGGTGCTGCTGCCATTCATCCCAACCGCTGTAACAGGTAAACTGGAATTCCAATCCCTATTGAGATGTTAATGTACTTTTCAAATTTCTTCATGAAGTGTGTTTACATTTACTGTGGAACTTACAGAGATACCTCAAGACCTGATCATGACTTCCCTCAACACTGACTTCCCTGCGTGGTCAAGACATCATCTCTACTCAGAGCTCCACAAAATGAAACTGGCAGTTTTAGAAGTTACCAAAGGAAAAATAGCTGAATTCATGTAGCATTCGTGCTGCTAA